GTTATCCTCATCTTTCAAAATCTGGGAGCATAGATATATTTTTCTCATAGAACCTGCTCCAAGTCCTTTGTGTGAAAAGAACTCTGAGGCTGATTCTGTATGAAATAGAAGGATGACTTGTAGCTATAGTGACTGTGTGGTGATGTCATGAACTCTATATGCCAGTTAAACATAACACAGACACCACAAAAATGTCCTGCCAACTTGATTGGATTGAGAGGCATCTAGCAGGGGCTCAGCCCCACCCAGGGGAAAATTTTCCTTCCCAGGTAGAGATAGCTCCCACCCAGGGCAGGCAACTTTCTTCACCAGGTAAACAGAGCCAGAGGCTGCCCAGCCCCTCTGCAGCATGGGAAGCTCTCCCAGCTGCAATAGAGTAAAAGAAAAACAAATGTCCCTCCCCATGGTATAACCCTGTTTTCACTGTATTTGATGTTGGTATAATTTGGGGAGGGGAAGGGAAAAAAATTGTTTAACTAGGGATACAGGTTAACCCATTGCAACAATGAGATATGCAAGATGCTATGTCAAAAAACGAACTTTACAATTTAAGTGGGGGTGAGGGGGGAAGGGGGGTGACGAGTTTAGTTGAGGAGGTGGGAGGGAAGGGAGGGTAGAGGAAAAACAAAGGAGAAGGCAACAATGCTGGATAAGAAATGTACTCATTACCTTGCTCATGTAACTGTAACCTCTCTGTACAGTATTTTCACACACACACAAAAATCTTATTAAAAAAATTCAAATCTGGATACAACATAAACCCTGGGAGTGGCTCCAGGCTGGGCCACAGAGTGTCTCTGGAGCTAGCCCCTCAGGGAAAAGCTACTGAGTGCTGACAGGAAATAACCCCACCCACATTCAAGCCATCTCTCTATTGGATGGTTTTATCCTAAAATAAGTGACTCACTTTTCCTGTTACCACTGCTATGACAAAATTCCAAGAAAGATCTGTTGTCCAACACTGGGTTAGAACAATGGCCCCTTCCTCATGGAATCCATTTTATATTTTAACCACAACATTTATGTTTGGTGTTTTTTCTGTTTTTTAACCCTAAGGATTCATCTCAGGTCCTAAGTCAATGTGAGGCATGTGCTCTACCGTTTGAGTCACATCCTCACCTCAGTTCCTTTTGTTTTTAGTTTTAAGATAGGTTCTTAGGATTTTTCATAGGCCAGCCTTGGCCTTAATCCTCTTACCTCTCTGCCTCATAAGTGCTGCAAAAATTTAACATTTTTGAGGGGCTTCAAAGTTGTTTTCAAAAGTAGTTGCACCATTTTACAGTTTAAAGCACTAATAAGAGTTTCAATTTCTCTATTCTCAACACTAGTGTGTTTTGGGGAAAAAATAGCTATGCTAGTTTTGACCTGATTTGCATTTTCTTGTTTTAATTTTTTATTTTAATTTTATTCTCAAGATGATATACAGAGAGGTTACAGTTACATAAGTAAGGTAGTGAGTACATTTCTTATTGAACTTGTTACCCACCCCCCTCATTTTTCTCCCTCTTTCCCTTCCCCTCAAACCCTTCATTTGCATTTTCTTAATGATCAGTGTTTCTAAGTATCTTTGCATATATTTATTGTCTTATTTTAATACTTATTGTCTTTGAGTAAATATCTATTCACCTCTTTTTTTTTTTTTTTGTAAGTTGTGAGGTTTGAACTCTGGGCCTGGTTGCTGTCCCTCAGCTCTGCAGCTCAAAGCTAGTGCTCTACCACTTGAACTATGGCACTACTTCCAGTTTTCTGAGTGGTTTAAATATTAGAGATTAGAGTCTCATGGACTTTCCTGCCTGGGCTGGCTTTGAAGCGCGATCCTCAGATCTCAGCCTCCTGAGTAGTTAGGATTACAGGCATGAGCCACCAGCACCAGGCTATTCAGCTCTTTCATCCAGCTATGAAATGTTTTTGTCTTTTTGTGCTAGTTACGAATTCTCCATCTTGATGCTATTCTTTCATCACATATATGACTTACAAGTATTTTCTGCCATTCTGAGTAACTTTTTATTTGGTGCTCTTTGACACCCAAAAGTTTTCTGTTCCATAAAGTTCAGCTTACCTATTTATTTATCTGTTATTTATGCTTTTAATATTACAGCTTTGAAACCATTGCTTAACCCACAGTCATGAAGATTTATGCTTATGTTCTCTTCGAAGAAACATTTCTTAGTTTCTCATCTCCCATTTAGGTCTATGCTACATTTTTTTTTTTTTTTTGGTAGGTTGTGAACTCTGAACTCTGGGCCTGGGCGCTGTCCCTCAGCTCTTCAGCTCAAGGCTAGCCTTACCACTTGAACCACAGTGCCATTTCTGGCTTTTTTCTGCTTATGTGGTGCTGAGGAATCAAACCCAGGGCCTCATGCATGTGAAGGCAAGCGCTCTACCACTGAGCCACCTTCCCAGCCCCTATGATACATTTTGAATTAATTTTCTGCATATGTGTGTTAACCTAATTTTAAACAGGGAAAACTACACAAAAATACTAAGCAATTTTCTAAAAAATGTGCAATATTCAAGGTGCTGAGACAGAATTCAAATCCAAAACAATTTGATTCTAGAATCTTCCCTTAGACTCACAATTGTATAGCAACTTCTTCATTGCAACTGCTTTTTCCTTTTATTAAATAGATGTAAATGGATAAAGTACACTTTATTCATTTAATTACAAGTGGATAGAGGATGTGATTAGTAATACTTTTAAAATTATCAATATTGCTCCAAAAAGGATCATCAGGTTTCTATTTTATCCAAAGTAATGTTGCAAAAAAATACATGAAAACTAAGTCTACTGCTATAAATCTGAAATCTGTACTGGAAATGTTTTGTAAGTTTTATAGTTAATTCACTGCTTTTGGCAATTGAAGTCACAAGACAAAATGGCCCTAAATATTTCATTTCTTCAATGTACAAGATCTATGTTCACTGATTCTATTACTTTCTTTTATTATGTTATATATTCTGTAAAAAGTAACTTTTCAGAAGGTTATCATCTTCAACTAGATAACAACTAATTTATTCCTATTTCTTATATCTAAAATTTTTACCAAAATGATATATAGATATACCTATTTTTGTGACAGACATGGAAATAAAGTAAGATTTTGGTCAGTAATCTGCCAATTCTTGTGATGGTCCAGGTAAATTTGAAAAGTTGACAACCGTGGCAATGTTAAAAAACATTAACATAGCTTAAACCATATGTCTATCTGGAAGTTTTCTTAATAGCCAATGTAATATTCTACCCACCATGTATCACCAATTCATCATAGCAATCATTACTGATTAAAATCAATTAATATTGATTCCAATAGGGAGATTTCAGAGCAATTTTTTTAAATAGACCTTTCGATTCTACCTGCTCTGCCACTGGTGGCCTTTAAGGGAAAAAAAACACAACAATTTTTCTTGGGTGGTTCTAATTCCCTAATTCCAGTTTCCTACTATTTTATACAAATTAGCACGTAGTTTGTTGCTCCCCCAAAATAGTAACTGAATGAACAATTTTCCTATCTGTACTTTACTGCTGACTCAAAGCTTGGATTTTAATTTGCATTACCTGTTTCTCCTAGTGAAATTATTGGAAATAACCTTATATAAAACTTTAACATAATGGACATATTCGCTTAGAGTTGTAACACAGCCTTTAAATATTATTTTACTTGAGGCTTATGACAGTTACAGAAAATTATTTTCTTTTTCAAAATTTCTAAGAGGACCACTGTACTTGTAATAATTTCTACAATCTATACCAATCTGTACAACATTGCCAATGTGAGTTCATCTGAAGTCAGAAAATATTGACACCTTAAGCTTAGTTTTTCATATGAGTGATACAACCATCTTTCTGTTAGCAGTAGAACTACAAGTCCAGTACAATCCTGGCTGTACAGAATTAGTTGGTGACTGTTGGAGAAAGTTCCCTAGAAAACTCTTCCCTGATCATTTTAGTATTTTCTGCTCTTGACTGAGAAGTTCTATGCCAGACTGATTTCTTAAACAGAACTAACAGATCCATGCTCTCAAAAGCTGCCTATAGTCTTCCAGGGTCGCTATCATGAGGTACTAATAGAAAACTAAAAACAAGATCATTAATAAATTTATTCTTCAAAGTATAATGCATTCAAAAATATGTGAATAGTCCAGGTGCTGGTGGCTCATGTGTGTAATCCTTGCTATTTAGGAAGCTGAGATGTGAGGATTGTGATTCAAATTCAGCCTGAGCATGAACACCTGTGAGACTCCTATCTCTAATTAACCCCCAAAAAGTCATAAGTAAAACTGTGGCTCAAGTGGTAGAGCACTAGCCTTGAACAGAAAAACCTTGGGGACAGAGCCCAGGCCCTGAATTCAAGACCCAGAACTGGCAAACATATAACAAATAAATAAGGTGAATTGTTAAACATGTTTAAATATGACTAAGTATTTAAAATAATAAATACAAAAAGCTTTCTAAATAGGAAAAATAAAAACTTCATTAGAATCAGGAAGAATAAGTTCTCCAAGTGGCCTAAGAGGTGATGTCAAGAAGAGTCTTTCAGGGGCTGGGAAGGTAGCTCAGTGATAAGAGTGTTTGCCTTGCATGCCTGAGGCTCTAGGTTCAATTCCTCAGCACCACATAAGCAGAAAAAGCTGAGAGTAGCACTGTGGCTCAAGTGGTAGAGTGCTAGCCTCGAGCCAAAGAGCTGAGGGACAGCGCCCAGGTCCAGACAGAGTTCCCACGACTGACCAAAAGAAAAAAAGAAGTATTTTTCGATTCAATGAGGCATTTGAGCCCCAGGCTAAATAGAGGAGAATGTTCTGTAAAAGATAGCAAACTAAATTATCATTATGATCCTTTACATTTCCTTAGAAGCTAAAATATATAATTTTTTTCAATCATATTTTAGAAAGAGTTTTGTTTATTAAAGAAGTAACTTGGATTTGGATGTTCCATTTGCCCCCAAAAGAAAAGTTACTCCCTAATAGAAAGGAAGATCATAACCAGGGTACCTGGGTTTTACCTTTGCTTTGCGAAAGTGGTAGACAACCAACATGCTAATGAAGTCGAGTAGCATGCACAGAGCTTGGAAGGAGATGATGGCAAGACGCAAATACTTGTCCTCCTGGACCAAGCACGGGCTGTCATCTGCACAATAGGGGCAGCCCTCTCGGCAGGGCAGACAGACATGGGCTTCTTCTGACACATCTTTCGCACTTCCTGAGAAATGATGATCTGGGCCCCGTCCTGAAAGTTCCAAATAAAACCTCAATGTTATTTGCACCTCTGTGGTAGGTAAGATAGAATACAGTCACAACACATCTTCACTTCTTTACTTGTCTTCCCATCAACTATTTTGTAAATTCTCTTGGTATTAGACTTGGCTTTTGGACTCAGAATTGTTTTTGTTTCCCTTGGTTTTAAAATTATCATTCAGAATAATTGAGAAAAATTAGAAAATATGGAAACAAAATGTCTCAAAGGCAAAGAACAATCTGCTGTCTTTGATATCATCATCTACTACTCACTAAACTAATACTCCCTTCTTAAGCACAAATCATATTCCACAAATTCTTGTTAGACCACAGGAAGGATGATGAAGGCTATTTGTTTTTATGGACCAAGTAAATATTCCCATCACTTTTGGAACTTCTTAACCTATATGGCAACAAATCCAAAATGAGGGTTTGATTGCTTCTTAACTTAGTGGAGGATCTCATCTACCAAATTCATTAAGTCTAAATTGGATGAAATGGCACTTAAACAACTGTTTTTCAGTATGTATTTTCCTAATGGTACATCCTTTACTCAGAGTACAATATGTACTTACAAGCTATCATGTAATTATCCACTTTGCATACACAAAGGACATTTTCACACTATTTGCTTACTGCTGCTATAGGTCCTTTGTTTAATTTTATATTCTTCTGTCTCAGTTATCAAACAAGTTATCTTTGAAATCAAATATTTAAAGATTAACACCGAGCTGAGATAAACACTAAAAAATCCAACTAGTTCTAAAAAATAAATAAATAAATCAACTGTACATTGGTGGCTCATACCTGCTACCTTAGCTGCTCAGGAGGCTGAGATCTGAGAATCATTGTTCTAAGCCAGCCTCGTCAGGAAAGTTCCTGAGACCCTTATCTCCAATTAACCACCAGAAAAACTGGAAATGTTGCTGTAGTTCAAGTAGTACAGTTTAAGACTTAGGCAAAAGAGCTCGGGGACAGAGCTCAAACCCAGGACTGGAAAAAAATAGCTATTTCCAAATATGAACTCAGTTCAACACAGAAAAGAATTTTTAATGGAATTCTATGCCTCTATCAGAAAAAATGACATTGCCCCATTTGTTAGGAAATGGAAAGACTTGGAAAAAATTATATTAAGTGAAGTAAGCCAGGCCCAAACAAACATAGGTCCTATGGTTTCCCTCATTTGCAATAACTAGTATATGTCTGAGTCAAGCAGAAAAGGTCAGTTAAGTTGATGTTAGGGAAATGAACCCTAAGATATGTATTCAAAGGTTTTTTTCTTTCATGCGATTTTTTTCTAACACATTTATAAGATTATTTCTTTGTTGCTTTTTATGTCCCTCCCCCACGGTATAACCCCTGCTTTCACTGTATTTGATGTTGTTATAATTTGTGGAGGAGAAGGGGAAAAACAAATCGTTTAAATAGGGATACAGGTGGACCCATTGCAACAACGAGACATACAAGTCGTCATGTGGAAAACTAACTTTACAACTTTGGTGGGGGGGGGGAGGGTTGAGCGGGGTGAGGTGGGGAGAGGATGGGATGGGAAGGGGAAACAAAGGAGGAGGCTACAATGCTTGATAAGAAATGTACTCATTATCTTGCCCATGTAATTGTAACCCCTCTGTACAGTATTTTCACAATAAAAAAAAGAATTTTGATGAATAATTAGGGAAAGTTCTCTCAGTTAATAACACTTTAATGATGATGTTTAACAGAAATTTTATTTCTATCAACTCATTCAAGTTTTATACTCTTTCTGAACTTCAATTGACTATTTCTCCAGTAAATACAATAACAAAAACACATTGAAGGGTTTTTTTTGATAATTCAAGATACTTTGTTACTTAATAGTCTTCATCCTGTTATATAATGAAAAATAAATGGATTTTAGAATCATAAGCAGACATGTTTCCCACCTTTCAATAGCTCTGACATGAACTCACTTGGCCACTTTGTTTACTTGCTGATAGAAGAAGAATTACTATGGGAATTAAATGAGGTAATTTATATAAATCACGGTGACTGACTCTTTTTCTTTATCTTTCCAAACACAGGAGATTCAAAAATAAATTAAGAAATTCATTGATGCCTTAAAAAAATGTTACTACCCTATTGCATTGTTGGTGGGAGTGTAAACTTGTTCAACCACTTTGGAAAGCAGTATGGAGGTTCCTCAAAAGACTCCACATAGAGCTCCCCTATAACCCAGCAGTCCCACTTTTGGGTATTCACCCAAACAATCACAAACAGGCTATACTAAAGCTACCAGCACAACTATGTTTACCATAGCTAAGATATGGAATCAACCCAGATGTCCCTCAGTAGATGAATGGATCAAGAAAATGTGATACACACACACACACACACACACACACACACACACACACACACAAAATGGAATTCTATACTTCCATCAGAAAGAATTACATAGTCCTATTTGTTAGGAAATGGAAAGACATGAAAAAAAAATTGTATTAAGTAAGCCAGGCCCAAAGTACCATAGGTCCCATGGTTTCCCTTAATTGCAATAACTAGTATATGTCTAGGAGAAGCAGAAAAAGTCAAAAGCTGTGTACATATGACCATATAAGATGATGTTAAGTGAAACAAACCCGAAGATTAGGGGCACAACTAGTTTTTTCTTTCTTGCTATTGTTTTTATAATGTCCTCTGTGTTTTTTTGTTTCTTTTGTATGTTCTTCTCCCCATGGTATAACCCCTGTTTTCACTGTATTTGATTCTAGTGCCATGCATCGGAATATATACATTTTTCTAATTTGGGGAGGGGAAGGGAAATAACAAAATGCTGAAATAAGGATACAGGTTAATATTGTTAACCTTGTTAACGTTGTTAACATTGTAACAATGAGATGTACAAGATACTATGTTGAAAATGAATTTTACAACTTTAGGGGGAGAGGGAGGACTTGGGGAGGTGGAAAGGAAAGGGATGGTAGGGGAAAAACAAAGGAGGGGGTAACAATGCTCAACAGGAAATGTACTCATTACCTTACTCATGTAACTGTAACCCCTCTGTACAGTATTTTTATAATAAAAACATATAAATATATATATAATAAAATGTTACTAGACAGAAAAACAGTATTAAGGGGGAAAAAGGATGGTAGAGAAGAGCTATGTGGAAATGTTAAAATTTGATTTCAGACAACTTAAATTTGAAGTAAAAACTAGGGGAAAGTAATCCAGGGGAAATAATTTTTTTTAAGTAAGAAATAATACAAGACAGGGAGTGCAGAAGCTAAATCAGTGTTAGAAGAAGAATGATAGAACATGCTATAAGGAATAATGATTGGGAATATGAAGAAGACAGTACAAGTAAAAGTATTTACGGTATTATAACAACAGTATACAAAGATTGACTGGGAACTCAGGGATGTGATTAAATATGATGTCTGAGGAAAGGCTAAGAGAATTAATCAATTTAAGCCCATGACCTTCATGGTGTTACATTCCAAAGACTGATATGTGTTTGAAATTAGCTTGTTGGGGTCTAAGGACTAAATAAGTGATAAGCAAATATTATTTCAAATGTTCCCTTGAATGAAAAAAGTATGAAAATCTCACAGTTAATAATAATATGTATTAAATGAAATAGTATGTATCAAATAATATGTATCCAATGAAAAATGAATATTGATTTTGTGCTCTACTTTCTTCTGTACAACCTTGATTCAAATACAGTTGAAGGAAAGCTCGAGGGTAATGAATAGTACAGTTAGAGAAATTAACTCTGAGAGTTCTTTATATCTACCCTGGTAACACTGGAAGAAGAAAAGGTTTTGTTCTACATGGAGGATGAGTATATTTAAAAACTATTTTGTAGTAAAGAATAAAAGAAAATATAGAAGCAAATATTAGTCATACATTTTAAGATTAAGGATATGAAAAATGGAGGCAGCTATACAGTATAACTATGTGGGTTACTTGAAAGGCACCTTTTGGAAAACCACCGAGCTCTAGAGTGACTGTTGCCTCTGGAAAGATGTGGATTTTTGGTTTACCAAGAAGATAAGCCAAGGATACGTGGGCTGGTGCCATTGCTCCATGTGAAATCACTATATCAGTCTGGAACACCTGTCTGAGGCCAAGAAGACCTCCTCCTTTCTGCCCTCACCACTAAAATCTCCAGAGCACCACTGAAATCCCAAGTGTTGTGGAGCTGATAAAGATTGGCCACAGAGTTAGAGCTGGAAAGACCACATAGCTCAACATGTTCAACACCCTTATCCCTTCTATATTAGGCTGATGTTCTAGTTGGGGTTTGAAAATTGCTTGACAGTGCAGGAAAACCCCGCCTTCTCACTTCCTAAAGAGTGTCTACAACATTGCCAGTGTTTGTGGATTGGTTAGTGGACTGGTTACTGAATATTGTCTAAGTGTCTCATTCTAATGTCACTGGGTGCAAAAAGGTTCTTGTATAGTAAGGCCTTCTTTGCTGAGCTATCTGCATTTGTAGCTGCTGCTGCTGTCCTAGCAAGTTTGAAGCCAAAGAGGGGTCGGGAGAGGATATGGGATTGGTCTCCTCTATGAATTACCAAAAGACAACTGACTCAGCTTTATTTGCAAACTAAGGAAATAAGGCATAGTTCTCTTCAAAGTTTTAAAAAAAGAACCAGACACACACACACACACACACACACACACACACATACACACACACACACAAAGTTCTATAAAGGACACAAAGTGATTTTAAAAAACTGTTTCTTTCCTAAAGGTCAAGCAAGTAACTAAAATTAAAGATACAGCTTTTCACATTGAAGAGCTTTCTGTAGGACTCAAAATATTAAACTAATATTATATTCCAAAAATAGTTTATGAATTTGTGCCCAAGTTCTCTATTTAGTTGAAAGGAATCTACGCTCATACAAATCATATAACTACTATATAATAAGAATGACCTTTTTAACCTATTGGATGTCACATAAGCTTAGGATTATTTAATATTTTACATTCCTTGAGGAC